AGGCGCAGGGCTCATATACAGACCCATAGACTGACATAGTGACCCATGAACTCACACATAGACCCATAGACTTACATCGCAACCCATGAACTCACACGTAGACCCATAGACTGACATAGTGACCCATGAACTCACACGTAGACCCATAGACTGACATAGTGACCCATGAACTCACACATAGACCCATAGACTTACATCGCAACCCATGAACTCACACGTAGACCCATAGACTGACATAGTGACCCATGAACTCACACATAGACCCATAGACTGACATAGTGACCCGTGAACTTACATTACCTTTCTGAACTGGTCAAGGAGCTGTATACACAATCATCATCAGCAGCATCAGCAGCAGCATCATCATCATCAGCGACATCATCACGTGAACTGCGGTCATCCTCGCAGCGGCTTCGAACAAAGGCGGTGGCCACCGCACCGCGCGGCGCTCGCAGGCGTGCTGCTTCTGCGGCCGTCTGGAACGCATCTTCCTTCCCACATGCGGAAGCCGCTGGAGCCGTGAGACACTTTTAAACCATTTAGATGTAAAAGGCATTCCTTGAGGACTGCGCTTTGTACGTAGTTGGTTGTCATTCCCACGCACCTCCGATTGGCACGGTTGGCCACGTACGGTGCGAACGAAGTTCAACAAACACACATACAGCTGTATGCGGTAGCCTGTAGCATGTAGCTGTCACGTACAACTGTTGTCCCATACAGCACAGCTGTAATCCTATAGCTAAAGCCTGCAGCTACAGCTATAATCCATAGCGGTCACTTGCAGTAACTCGTACCCATAGCCTATACGGTAGCTGTAGCCTATAGCTGTGCTTGTAGGATCGCAGATGTGCGGTATGGGATGACACCCGTGTCATATGGGGTTACGTCTGTGCCCTATAGGATTACATCTCTGCCATATGGATTTGCCGTATTCTCCGCACCATGAGACGCTCCAGAGAGTAAGACGCGCCTCAGACGTGTGCGTTGCCCGGTGGTGTTAATACGTCTCTACAGATTTGGTTTCACACACACGCACACACACGCACGCACACACAGACACACACACGCGCACACACACACACGCACACACACACACAGACACACGCACGCACACACACACACACAGACACACACACGCACACACACGCACACACACACAGACACGCACACACAGACAGACACACACACACGCACGCACACACACACAGACAGACACACACACGGCAGCTACTGGATTATAAGACGCCACTCCAACCTTGGCTGCAAGGCACAGGGAGTAATATTGCGCCGTGTGATCTCGAGAATAACCTGTGCGCCTGCTCTACCGTGTTAGATACTGGCCATGTGGGGTTACAGCTGTACCCTATAGGATTGCATCTCGGTCCTGTAGGATTTGCAGGTGCGTTCCCTTATGAGGTGGTTGCATTGATGTCGGAAGCCTCTTTTGACAAGAGGGCCCTTTAACACACAGATAACATACAAACTCCACACAACATACAAACTACACACAACATACAAACTACACGCACACAACATAGAAACTCGACAGAGAAAGGCGCCCGGATCGTGAGTCGAACCCAGGTGAGGATTTTGTCTGCACTGTGACGTCACACGCCTCGGCTGGTGACGCTCCATCGACGTCAACCGATGATCGCATTCGCGATTTGAATCCGACCGATTAGATTTATGCAAATCAGACATTAGCGGTCATATTGTTTCGACATTAAAACTAAATAACGGTTTCTGGGCCCACGCCTCGACACCCATGAACGTCAGACGGCCATCAACAAAGGACACTGTTCAAGTTGTCGCAGATGACGAGTGTGTCGCGTTTCCTGAAGTCAGCGAGCGAGCGAGCGCTGAGGCACGAGCAGGAGACGCAGGAGACGAGAAGCAATGGGACAGGGAGACGAGAGGACACGAGCTCAGGGTTAGTGGGGGGGGGGGGGGTAGAAATTACTCGAGATGCGACCTCGATTCATCGGCCCACACGGATCGAATCTCCCCGGAGTCGAATCGTTAGCAGCCTCGGGCTCCCCCCGTCCATCAGAGGTGCCTCGTCCCATCGGCGCTCGTCACGGAACCCCCCACAGCAGCAACATCCCCTCGGACCCCCTAAGAGACCCCGAGAGTGCCTTCAGCCAGGGGGGGGGGGGGCGGGGGAATTCCCGATAAACCCAGAGGAGCAATGAGGACATCCCACAACAATGGGGGCCTCAGTGAAGAAGGGGAGGAGGGAGGGAGGGAGGGGAGGGAGGGAGGAGGCATCTCGTGCTACGTTTCCACGACCACGAGGAACCGAGCCGTGCCAGAGCGGCCCGGGCACCACGAGGCGCGCCTTGCTGCACGGGACACGGAACACAAACCCCGACCGGCAGAACGCGAATTCTGCGGTCTGTCCCATTCACCACGCACGGGCCACATTGCCAGACCTTTCCACGCGAATCAGCGACGGTGGGTGGCGGAGGGGGGGGACAAAATAAATAAAATCTTCCACCACTGTGACAATTCGTGGTTTTTGTGTCGAGTTGGGAAGCTGTCCCCTTCGCTCGCACTGCCCCTGCTGCCTCAACCACCTGGCGGCGGCCCACCCAGCCACGCTCACCAACATCCCCGTTTAAACACGAATTGAGTCGTAACACACCGCACGCGCCTGATGATGACGATGATTGCTCAACAGTTCCCACGTGACGGATCGCAGTCGGAGTCGACGTGGGCCTGTTGGAGCTAGTACGCACCGATCGGCGACACGGGACGTGGTGACCACAGTCGCCGCGCAACCGGCCGGAGAAATGTTGAATGTTCCACCTGTGCGTCAGGTCACCGCACCAGCTGCTGCTGCTGCAGCTGCAGTCGTGGTTCGGGCATCAAATGCGGCTCCAGGAGCTTCGTGGGAGAGCGAAGCCAGGGATTTGTGGGATCTTCCGCGTCGATGGCTCCTTCATGAGGAGGCGTCCGTGACTCCTCGTCAACCCCAGTCGGCTTTCCACGCCTCATCGCCATTGTTCGTTAATAACCCCGCCCACCCCCCCCTCCCAAAAGAACAAATCTACCACAGGCGACGTTTCAAGCGATGGCCCTTCCCCATAGCACGCGGAGTCAATCAAAACACGAACACAACGGACCTACGCCGCCATTAGAATCGGCCGCTCTCCGTCGTCACGTCGGGCGAGTTGAGCAATCATCGGGCAAGTGCAGCGCGTCGCGGCTTACCTTGGCGGTCGAGACTTGGCGCGTGCGGGTCGCGGTGCGACGCGCCAGGAGCGGAGGAGATTCTGGAAACTTCGCCGCGCAATTTCAAACCTCGGCAAGCAAAGACGCGTGAGAAGTCCGTTGAATGCAACTCGAAGACTTAAAATGACTTCGCGATCTTAATGAAGACCTTCCAACCCAGCCCCCACCTGGCGTGTGCCCGACATCACTGACGACAACAGCGGCGTTCCCACGTGACGTTGTTGCGCTCCAGTGACGTCACGACGAAGGTTCATCGGGCATCCCTCTCGGCCACGGCCTTGCCGAGGTGTCACGAGGTGCCGCAAACCCCGACGCGCGGTTTCATTTCTCGCTGAATATTCTGCGCTTCTCTGGAGAGACTCGAGTGGGTGGTGTTGCGCCCGGTGTAGCCACAGCCATTAGCGAGAGAGGGAGAGAGAACGTCGACTGGATGTGGACGTTATTTACTGTTCAACCACCCGAATGGAAATTGATCCCTGGCTACAAGAGAAGATCCCTGCTCGGGTTTTTTTTGTTTGTGGTCGTCTCTTTATCCAACATCTGCCCCAGTAGTGACACGCGGACCAGTCACCGGGACGGGGCGCACGAAGGGTGGCGAGCACGAAACGTCGAACCCCTCGGCCCATGCAGGAAGACATGCGGACGGCAACAGCCCCGACTCGAGCCCCAACACAGCAGCAGCCAGCAGCCGCGTCCGTCTCGTACCGTCTCGTGTGTAGTGTCTGTCTCGTGTGTAGTGTCCGTCTCGTGTGTAGTGTCACGATGCAATGCCCGCAGCGTGAACATCACGATCGATAATAATCGAGACGATCGATGCTCCACTCACAACGGGCCACCAGCAGCCACCAGCAGCCACCAGCAGCCACCAGCAGCCACCAGCAGCCACCAGCAGCCACCAGCAGCCACCAGCAGCCGCGGGTCGGACGACCCCAACCCACCACCACCACCAACCCCTCCCTCCCCCCCTGCCCGGACACAGCAGCAGCGCCTGGGTTGGACTCCCGGTCCACGCAGGGAGACGCTTTAGACGCACCGCCGGTGATGATGGAACGCGAGAGATGGGGACTGGAGTCAGAAACTGCCACCTCACCCACGCCGCCATCGATTGATTCTTTCAAGATCAGCGTTGGGTGCCCCCCCTCCCTCCCTCCCCCCGTGGTGATGTTCGAGGTGGCGCTCTCGGTGCGCCTTCGACTCGTTCCCCGCGGGTTGTTCGGCACGAAGGCCGACGTTTCGATCCGCGTGCAGGGGGCTACTTCGCGAAATCCATTGTTTAAGCTCCGGTCACCAAGAGGCCACCGCGTCCCACCACCATCATCACCAGCACCATCACCACCATCAGCACCACCAGCACCACCAGCACCACCAGCACCACCAGCACCATCACCACCACCATCAGCACCATCAGCACCACCACCACCATCAGCACCAGCACCACCAGCACCACCATCAGCAGCACCACCATCACCACCATCAGCACCATCACCATCAGCAGCTTCTCTGAGGCTCCCATTGAGCCTCCCGCGCCCGCTGTGCTTGGGCTGTGACGCCTGGACACGGATGACACTCGCGTGGCTTGGCTGACAGAAGCCAGGCGCACGAAGAAGAAGTAGCGGCAGCAGCAGCAGCAGCTGCAGCAGACGACGACGACGACGAAGACCGCGAGACGACGCGGCCCAGAGAGGCCCCTCGCTTCTCTCTCGAGAGAGAGAGCCGCGGAGTCCAACGCGTGCGTCCATTCTGACCGCGGCGGACCCGGGGCGTGGGGGGGGGTCCTGGGTGGCGGCTACACGAAGCGGACCCAGCCGTTGTCCGTCTCGCGAGTCGGGGACACCTTGGCTCGCTGGCAGCGCACGCGGTAGTTCCTCCCGCCGTTGTTGTCCCAGAACTCGGAGCCGTTCACTCGGTAGCAGACCGCCAGCTCCAGGGAGGCGCCGGGCTCCAGGCGGGAGCCGCGCGGCGGCTCCAGGCGGAAGCTGAAGCGGTCCGTGTAGCCCCCGTCCGGCGGCGGAACAGCAGCCCTCCCGCCGGGAGCCCGACCCGCGCTCTGCTGGCCCTGACCCTGACTCGGGTTGGCCGCGGACGGAGCGTAGCGCGCGTCGGCGTCCGCGCTCGTGGCCCAGTCGTCGAACGAGTGGCGCACGACGACGCGCTTCTCGAAGGCCAAGTTGAGCACCCGCACGCAGCCGCGGGCGCCGCCGCCGCACGTGGCCCGCACGCGCTCCAGGCACACGCTCTGGGCACGCACGCGCTCGAGGAAGTCCGGACGCGCGCCCGGAGTTAAGAGCGGCGGTGGTGGCGGCGGTGGTGGAGGTGGTGGTGGAGGTGGGGGCGCGACCCGGGGCGACCCAGCGCCACCGCCGCCGCCGGTCACCAGCAGCGAGTTGCCGCTTCCTCGCTCGTCGGCATCCGTGACGCCACCGTCGCATCTCCTCCTCCTCCTCGTCTCTTCGTCGTCTTCCGCTAGCTGAGCAGCAGCAGCGGCGGCAGCAGCAGCAGCGGCAGCGGCGGCGGCATCTTCACCGTCGCCGTCATCATCTTCATCGTAATACTCGTAATCGTCATCATCGTTAAGATCGTCGTCGTCGTCGTCCGTGTCGAATCTGGGGAAGGCGGCGAGGCAGAGTTGGGCGAAGAGTCGCGCGCGGACGCTGCGATCGCCCGGCCCGCACGAGCCGCCGCCGCAGCCTCCTCCTCCTCCACCGCCGCCTCCTCCTCCTCCGTAATCGAAGTCGTCGTCGTCGTCTCCGTGGTCGTGGAAGAGGCGCACGCTCACCAACTCCAGGCCCCGCACGTCCGCGAAGTGGACGCGCCGGCTGCCGCGCGCGACTCCTGCCGCAGTGGGGGGCAAGCCGGTTGGGGGGCAGCTTGGGAGGCGCTCCCCAAGGCACCCCTGCTGCTCCTGCTGCTCCTGCTGCTCCTGCTGCTGCTGATGGTGCTGCTGCTGCTCCTGCTGCTGATGGTGCTGATGGTGCTGCTGCTGCTCCTGCTGCTCATGCTCCTCCTGCTGCTGATGGTGCTGCTCCTGCTGCTGATGGTGCTGCTCCTGCTGCTGATGGTGCTGCTGCTCCTGCTGCTGCTCCTGCTGCTGCTCCTCCTCCTGCTGCTCCTGCTGCTGCTCCTCCTCCTGCTGATGGTGCTGCTGCTGATGGTGCTGATGCTGCTCGTCTTCCTGCTGATGATGCTGCTGCTCCTCCTCCTGCTGTTCCTCCTGCTGCTGATGCTGATGCTCCTCCTCCTGCTGTTCCTCCTGCTGCTGATGGTGCTGCTGCTGTTGATCCTGATGCTCCTGCTCATGGTGCTGCTGTTGCTGATCTTCGTGCTGTTGTTGAAGTCGATCTTGATGCCGCTCCGCCTCCTGCTGCTGCCGCTCACGCTGCCGCTGCAGCAACTGGTTATTGGGATGCTGATAATTATTCAACTGTTGCTGCTGCTGATGATCCTGCTGGTACTGTTGGTTCGTCTGCTGCTGCAGCTGCCAATAGTTATTCTGCAGCGGCTGATGAAGCTGTGGATGTGACTCCTGCTTAGGATGTTGCTGCTGGTACTGTTGATCATTTTGTTGCTGATGATTATCATGATAGCGTTCTTCCTCGTGACACTGCAGTTTGAAATTATTCTGAAGCTCCTGCTGCTGCTGCTGATGATTGTGCACCTGATGTTCTTGCTCATGCTGCTGATACTGTTGATGATTATTCTGATCCTGCTGTTCCTGCTGCTGCTGATGATCCTGCTGCTGCAGTTGAAGGTCGTTGTGAAGCACCTGGAGCTGTCCCTGCTGATGATGATGATCATAATTATAATCGTGATCCTGCTGCAGTTGAATATCGTTGTGAACCGCCTGCTGCTGGTAATCCTGCTGCTGCAGTTGAAGGTCAATGACAAGCAGCTGCTGCTGTTGCTCACAATGTCGATACCACTGCTGTTGGTGATTATTCTGATTCTGATTATGCTGCTGCTGATGATGCTGATATTGCCGCTGCTGATGTGGCGTCACCTCTGGGCACCCTCGGGGCAGCCCCTCGCTCGGGCTCTCCGCGCTCGCCGCGTCCCCCGGGGCCGCGGGACGCTCCCCCGCTCCGCCCCCCGCGGGGACCCCCGTTGGGAGGGAGACGCCGGCGGGCAGCGGCGAGACGCGAGCGCGGCGCGCGGGGACGGCGGGGGGAGGAGGAAGACGAAGCGGGACAGGTGGAGGTGGTGGTGGTGGAGATGGTGGAGATGGCGGGGAAGGTGTGGAAGGGGTAGAAGCAGTGGATGGCGGCGACTCTCCAAGGCCGGGCCTCACAGATGGGATGTCGAGAACGCAGTCCCGCGCGGGGTTACCGGTCCGGGCGGGGGCCGATGCGAACCCGTGCGCGGGAGCCCCCGCGGCGCGCGTGGCGGACCCCGCGAAGGGGGCCGCGCCCGGGGTGCAGGGCACCAGCACGTAGTCGGGCGGGGAGCGGGAGGACGAGGAGGAGAGAGCGGAGCGCAGCTCCTGGGTCGGGGTCAGAGGAGGCGACTCCGGAGGAGAGGAGGGCGCCGCGGCGAGAAGCGGAGACGCGGGGGTCCCGGGGAGGTCGTGCGGTGGCGGCGGCGGCGGCGGCGGCGTTACCGCCTCGGCACGAGCGGCCACCATCACCCCTGGCACCTGTAGGCGGACCTTGTCCAGCAGCCCCGCTACGAGCCCCAGGTTGTGCGGGAGGCGGCCCAGCTTGATGGGAGAGTCTGCCAGCACCTTGCACGCGACCTGCTGCTGCTGCTGCACGTGGAAGCGGTGCTGCTGGTAGTGCTGCTGCTGGTAGTGGTAGTGCTGCTGCTGGTAGTGCTGGTGCTGGAAGTGTCTTGACGAGAGGATGGGCGCGGGTCCCGCGGCCGTCGCAGTCGTCGCCGTGGCCGACGCCGCCAACGCCGCCTCGTCCATCCTCTTGTAGCCGGCGAGCATCGAGCGGAAGAAGGCGAGGATGGCGCTCAGCAGAGTCCGAAAGCAGCCGAGTCCCGCCATGGCGCGGCCCGGATGCGCGCCGCCGTGCCCCGCGGAGACCCCGTCGGGCGCGGGGCCCAGGTCCGTGACCTCCCCGAGACTCATCGGGGATGGCGGGGCAAGACGGAGAGCGAGAAGGGAAATGAAGGAGGAGAGAGACAAGGAGAGCGGCGATGAACAGCCGAGGCAGTGACGGAGGAGGAGGATGAGGAGGATGAAGAGGAGGAGGGTGGTATCGATGAGAGAGAGGGAGGGATGAATGGCGAGAGCGCCGGGCAGTGACGTAGGAAGCGTACAGAAAGAGATGGAGAGAGCAGGTGGGGGAGAGCGTGGAGGAGAGAGAAGCAGAGAGCGCGCAGGAGAGAGGCCGAATGTGTGGGGAGGGGGGTGGGGGTCGGGGAGAATAAAGAGAGACGTGGGGAGATAGCGGGCAGAGATGGAGAGTGTGCAAGGGAGAGACGGGGAGAGCGAGGGAAGAGAGAGAGAGAGACGGGGAGGAGGGGAGAGCGTGCAAGGGGAGTGCAAAGCGGTTCGTGCTGGATGCGGCAAAACGTGAGCGCGTGCGCCTTCCTCCCCGGCGTCGTCACGTGACGCGGGCTTTTTGAGGACGCGCTGCGCGCACCCTGGCCGCGTGCACAGCACAGTGCAACACAAAGACAAAGATCCCCCGTGTAGCCTGAACAGAACGTCGAGGCAAAGTGCAGTTAGCGAGCACCGACGAATGCCGGCACGGCACACGAGGGGGAGGGTGGTCAGCACCACGCCCGACCGCCTTTGTCTCCCCAGTGGCGTTGTTAACACACCGAACCAGGTACTCATTTGAGGCCGAGTCGACCTAGAAGAGGCCCATGACCGGTTCAAATAATCGTCACTGGTGTTGGCCGTGAGCAGCAATCGAATTGGGGTCGCCGGGTTCGTAGCCCAATGGGCTAACCACTGCGCCACCGCTCCAGAGTGCGCGCACATCGCTCAGCCACAGCGCCGCGGCCACCACCGCATACAGCGGCAGTGCGCACACACCTGGAGTGTGTACACCATCACTGTGACACACGGGGTATGTGTGTACACCATCACTGCTGTGACACACACGGGGTCTGTGTGTACACCACTACTGTGACACACGGGGTCTGTGTGTACACCATCACTGTGACACACACGGGGTCTGTGTATACACCACTACTGTGACACACGGGGTATGTGTGTACACCATCGCTGCTGTGACACACACGGGGTCTGTGTGTACACCATCACTGCTGTGACACACACGGGGTCTGTGTATACACCATCGCTGGTCTCTGCGCGTCGCTTTCCGTCTTCACGCCGCTCTCTGATGCGGGGTGGGTGGGAGGGGTCTCGAGTCCTCTGCTTCTCTGTTCTCGACATCCCAACACAGAACAGTCGTCAGGATCTCTTCGCCTGTGTGCTGCGTGGATGGGTGGCCAGCCGTGTCGTGCGAGGGTGCAGGAGGCTGCCGCGAGAGAGAATGCGCGGCGGGCATCGTCAGAGGGCACAACTCATAGCTGTACTGCACTTCTATGGCCCCGCATTTCTGCTCTCTCCGCCTCCAACAATAATTACCCGCACAGCCCAGCGTGGGTGAACTATGGCGCGTACCCATCCAGCAGTGGATTGCAGTCGTAATACCACAGCCCGTAATACCACAGCCCGTAATACCAGCGGGGATTGCGGCCCCTTGGCAGACACGAGGCGGAACTGAGCTGGCTCTGAAAATATCTGCAACGCATCCGATCGATAGCCCCTAACCTTGTCCCATAACCCCGAACCCCCCTATCCGCTCTTTGTTCCACAGACGCAGCTCGAACCCAGCCTGCCGTTCGCATGCCACGACGGGCACCCGAGCGACTTGCGATTGGTGACCGGAATCGTGTTTTGTTTGTTCACCGCAGCGTCCATCCATGCGGACGATCCTTGGGAACCCGGGCGAGGGGGGGGGGCTGGGTGAGTGGAGGACGTCACGAGTAGAGGACGTCACGAGGTAAGTGCCCGCTCACCTTGCTTGGCGTGAATTATTGGACGATGCAAAAAGGCGGTGGCGAGCGGGGGGGGGGAAATGGAGACGCCGCCGCCGCGAGGGGATAACGCCGATTCAGCACAAGCCCCATTGCACGGAGACTGCTGGTACAGTAAAAGGTCGTGACCCCCACACAGCCTGCGGAGGCTGTTGGCACAAGCGCTGTGAGCGAGCACCTCGCACATGATGGCCAAGTACGTTGCACGGGGAAGGTTCTAGCACCACGCCGGCCGCTTTTGTCTTCCCGACGTCGTGCGGTGCAGGAGACGCGCGCGTACGCAACACCTAAAAACATCAAATGAAGCCAATTATTGCGTGTGGCCCAAAACGAATGCGGCTTGCGATAATCCGCTGCCCGACAGGCATCCAAAGGTGGACTGCGTCGAGATGCAAAGGGAATCTCGACTCTGTGGACGTGGAGAGATGCAAAGACGTCGTCTCTCACCTGCTTACACAAATCGCGTGCACATCCCTCCCCCTCCTCCTCTTTTCACACCCCTCGCGTGTTTATTTTGAAAAAAAAACGATCAACCAAACCTCGACAGTCCCACCAATAACCGGTGCAAGATGAGGACGTGCACGACCTGTAGCGACGGCAGCTATGTTTATTGTTGGAATGTACGGTGCGTCGAAAATGTGAACAAAGAAATTCGTAGCAAGTAAATCACGCGCCATGACCGGCAGCAGATCAATAGCGCAACATTCACGGGTTGTTTCAGTGGCGTGCATGGGCGCTGGGGCAAGGGAATAAATGCCCTCCCTTGTCCCAACTGGCTTCAGGACGCTGGTCAGTGCGGGTTGGTGAAGGTGGGACGCATCACAGACATGCGACGATCGTAAAGCAGAATGAGGGGTTTCATGCTATCCACCACTTAAACCTCCTCCTCTACAGCACACGTCGCCTGTTATATTTGTTTCCTTTAAGGCCACCGTGTTACTGACGAACGCGTTGAGTTGTGTCTTTGTTATTGGTGATTGTGCACCACTTGCCAACGCAGCAGCATCACTACCAAAACATTTGTCACCCATCCAAGCACTAACCAGGTTCAAGACTATATTATTGGTTCTTTCGGTAGTCACGTAGAAGGGAAATAATAAAAATATAAAATTCTCACCACGTTTCGATTGCAACACAAGCAATCTTCATCAGGTGTGAAAACCACAGCAAAAAAATGTTTGAAAAAAGTGGCGTTTTTTTCTTAATATTAGCACCACGGACAGCGACTAGCGGTTGTTCAGATGGACGAGTCAATCTGTGCTCGGAACGGAGGAGTGGGGAGAGAAGAATGGAATGCGGTCTGAAAGTCACCGTAAACGTGAACACAATCAATCAAGACCCGAAATGGTGTATCACATCCTTCCAATGATTGCGAATCCAGAATCCATCTTCTCGGTTGAAATTGTCTCCGTGTTTGTATATGTGGATAGCTTCATGAACGAATCTCTCATGGTAGCCGGATGGCTTGCAGAGAACCTCCGTCTTGGAGAAGTCAATGTCATGTGAGCCCACTGAATTGTAACACGGTAGGACCAACACCTCATCCCCGGTAGACCATTGTGATAATTCAGTGGGCTCACATGACATTGACTTCTCCAAGACGGAGGTTCTCTGCAAGCCACCCGGCTACCATGAGAGATTTGTTCATGAGGTTATCCACATATACAAACACAGAGACAGTTTAAACCGAGAAGATGGATTCTGGCTTAGCAATCATTGGAAGGATGTGATAAACCATTTCGGGTCTTGATTGTGTTCACGTTTACGGTGACTTTCAGACCGCATTCCATTCTCCTCTCCCCCCTCCTCCGTTCCGAGCACAGAACAACCGTGAGTCGCTGTCCGTGGGGCTAACGTTGAGAAAAAAAACGCCACTTTTTTCCCTACAGTCACGAAAGCTTAGGTTCAAGACTGCTTAGCTATCGGACGAACCTCGAGCACCATTTCGAGCGACGCTGATTTGGCCAGAGGCATTTCAACCCGCACTGATCGGCGTGGTGTGGGAGGGTCAAACAACCTCCACGAACGAAACGGCCGCGAGGATGAGGCATTCAACCAGCAGTAGATAGGCCAAGCGCTGTGAATACTCAACCGTATTCATTTGAGCGAAAGTAAAAAAAAACACTCAATGCGCCTGCTCATCACCGCGTAGATCCATTGCAGCGGCTCATCCCCCTGACAACCTCACGGACCCCCTCCCTCGGTCACTGGAAGATGCATAAACATAATAAGAAAGAGCTATTACAGTAAGCCATGTGACGCACACTCCAATCGATGAAGAGCGATCCCCCAGCTACCCAACCACCCACCCCGCGCTCTCTCGCTCCACTTCATCCGTGACGCGCGGCGCGTGGGAAGCAGATCACATTACGCGTCACGTGACTGTGAGGCGCGCGTCATGGGGAGACGCAGAAGGGGGGCAGGGAGACGTGGGGGAGGGAGCTATTGACCCGCGAAGGGTGAAGCGATGAGCTCGGAAAGAGCGGTGGGGAGGTGGGTGCTGGGGAACATGGCACCGCTCGCTCTGAATGCGAATGCCGTGCCACATCGCGAAATGTGCAACGTCCAAATGGAACAATTTTAAACACAATGACGGTACTGCTGGACGATGGCCTCCCCACGCAGGACGTGGTGGCGATTGCTTGACCACTGTCGGACCACGCTCCATTCAGCACGCTGGACAGTGCCCGTTCATGTATTGTTAAATGGCAACAATATATTTAGCGGCACTGCCCTCTGCTGCCCACTACGTAGCACAGCCTCGCAGCAGCCGTCCATGACAACCTTGGCTTGCATACAAAGCAATAGCTCATCCCAACACGAGCCAGGCTCAGGCTTGCTTCGCTAATAAGATCGAGCGAGATAGCGCACATTCAGGGTGATTGGGTCATATAGGCAAAACCTATATTTTACAATGTATATCCACAGAAGCATCTTGACTTGAAGCTTTCGTGACTGCAATACAAGCAATCATCTTCAGGTGAAAAATGACAGCAGGCGAACTGCTGAGGCAGGAAGAAATGTAGCGAGAGCTACTGCAGCAAGAGGTTATATAGGTTTGAGATGGGTACAACCCAAGGGTAAATGGGCGGGGCTAGAGATGGAATTTACAAGTAATACACCTCGGCCATTGGATTAGCATATCAATCTGTTAATGTAACCCCACGACTACGGTGCTGAAGAAGCCAATGTATTGCTCGAGATTAGAGATGAGCATGTCAATGTGAGATGGCTCCCGCAGCAGCGGCTGTGTTAATGAGACACATTCAGCCTAATTAACGAGAGCCACCGCCACATCGAGGAAAAGGGAAGCAGCGGCTATGAGACATTTAGCCAGTTAATGTAAAGACATTTAACAAGGTAATGTAACTCAGTCGAAAATAACTACTAACATAGGCAGGTAGGATGGAAGCATCACAGCCAGTCATGACTGCCTGGTTAATAACGTCCTTCCAATGATTGCTCAGTTTGTACCCATCTTCTCGGTTGAAATTGTGTCTGTGTTGATATCTCAGATATATAAACACAGCAATCATTGGAAGGACGTTATTAACCAGGCAATGCAATGGCCGAGGTTTATTACTTGTAAATTCCATCTCTAGCCCCGCCCACTTACCCTTGGGTTGTACCCATCTCAAATATATATAACCTCTTGCTGCAGTAGTTCTCTCGCTATATTTCTGCTGCCTCAGCAGTTCACCTGCTGTATTTTTTTTCACCTGAACACGATTGCTTGTGTTGCGATCGAAAGGCCGCGATTACATTTTTTATTTTTCTATTTGCGTGACTTTACCGAAAGACCCAAAGAGCATGGAAGCATCATTTGCTTCGTGTATCAACAACCGAGGTTAGCTTTACAAATCCTCCACGACTGTACCTCGCATTTGCAATGTGCCAGTGAACACCATGATATATTACATTTCCATTGTTAACATAGTTTGAGACTTCATCGAATCTCTACGCTGGCCCAGCGACCAGCATCCAAACATTCGGGCGTGCACTTCCACGAATTTCTTTCGACGTTCCCACCAGTCCCTTCCACACTCCTGAGGGCTGCCACTCACTCTTCGTGCCTCTGTCGCTCACGCCCTCGTCACCACGGCCCCGTGACCGAGGTCACAGACACGTGATACTCGGGGCAGCGTTAAACGGCCTCCGGTTACTGGAGTAGAGCTGCCACGTCACCCGGGACACAACGACGATGAGCAAAGCCTCCACCACCCACCGCCAGACCGGTCCACTTTTTTAAAGTCACTTGTGCTCAAGCTCTTTCTGACGTTGGTTCCGCATACCCCCGCCCTTCGCCAACCGCACCCGTGAATCGGGTAGTCGAGCCTTGCCCGTTTCTCATACCACGAGTCGTACAAGAAGTCAAACTGTTTAGAACCGGGATAAAATCCACAGGTTCGCAAAACCAAACAAGTGACTTGGTATTACTACGTTGGCAGCGGTGCACAAAGCACACAGACACCTCGACAATACACATTTGCCGATAACACTTTTGTATGTTGAACTTATTCCACACTGTGCATAGCCAACCACGCTAATGGGAGATGCAAGGGAAGGACACCAAACTAAATACAAAAAAATGCAGTTCCAAGAAATTACTTTTCAATATAGATTTAAAGGTGCATAGCTCATGTCTTCCTTACACTGAAAGAGCATTCCAGACGGCCGTAGCACATCTGAAAGTGCACGATGCAGTGACTGTCTTTGTTGACGAATGTGTTTTGATTTTTAATTATATTTTTACAAAATATTGCGACCACCGGGCAGGGCGATTTGAAACCACCGGGACCAGGCCATTTGGTAGCGTTCCTAGACCAGGAAGGAATAATGCCTTACCAGGACTACCATCGTAGGGACTCCCTTTCGTGAAAAAGGAAATGGAACAAAAGTGGACAAGAGCGCATTCTATTGCATTCTTGCATAAGATGGCAACATGGACAGCAGCTAAATGCCAATGTTGAGGTATGCCAACCATAACAAGCGGGCACCATCAGGAGAGTGTGTGTAGTTTTTCTATTCCTCCTTTGAAAGAATGCGGTCCAGTGGTTTACTTGATGGCCCATAGTTTGGGTAGCATGGCCACAATCCCATTCCTGTGGCTTGTCTTTAATTTTGCATTAATGGCGATGTGTGCATCGGCCTGGAGATGTTCTGATGAGGTCGATGGTGCAGCAGTGTTTGAGGTATTGTCAGAGCCAGCAAGTGCCATGTTTGACTCTCGAATGAGGAGTTTACCCTGGACGACTGCGTTGCTCCACTCCGTTCGCCAACGTTCTTCCGGATCTGGGTGAAACTCTAGGACGGTGACAGCACGATCCGAGTAGGGGGATTCGGATTTGAGTCAGCAGCTAGGCACACCGAGATCATGGCTGACGGGTAGGTGGTTGTCATTGGCAAGACGACACGTAAACTGCCTTGCAGTCTGAGATGTCACTCAACCACGTGCGGTTGGCTGAGCGTGTCGTTTTTGGTGGATGGAGAGAACTCTAGGCCTGCTCTTGGTGTTGTTGATGATGCGCGTTATACAATACACAAAACAAATTAGACAATACTGACTACAATGCAGTATAATTTCACATACAACTATACATTAACAAATGCAACAGAATAAAATACAAAATGAAACAAAAATCTACATTTTCATAAAATTAGTTCTCTCACGCCAAAGATGTGGACGAGTCAGGGTGTAGATTGGTGTCCTGGTGGCTGTGGCTCTGGTTTAGCTAGCTAGTTTGGTTGGTCCGAACGTTAGAATTTATTACAGGTGGGGCAAGAAATACGTTGTACCTCATCAAATAATAGACTTACTTGGACTCCCATGGTTATATTCGACGTTGGGTCACAATGGTTCTTTGTCTCACATTCTGACTGCTAACACTGCATGGCATGCAGAACGGCGTACCTACAAGTCATGAGGCCAATGACGCTGCACTGGTGTAAGGCCACACTTACAGACATAAAGATGCCCGTGAAAGATCTGCAGGATAATATTACGCTTAGTTTGGAGGTCATAGAAACTGGGGACCACAAAACGGTAGCACATGGAGGGCCAAATAAAATAATGTACGAATAATACAGTAGGTTGAAACTTTTAAAATGTAAAACTACTACATATTTACATGGTTCAAACATGCAACGTGAAATCCGAGTATTAAATAAACGAAAACTGCGTCCTCAAACATGTAGAGGCACTTCAACGAACAAGGCGGCAACGTGGCTGTCGTCGTTTTGACTTCTTACAACGGCGAAATCATCGGAGACGCAACAGCAAAAACGAAGAAGGCGTCGCGAGGTGCAAAACCCAAATGGCAGGCCAAGACGATCCACGAACAACCTACGAACTTGCTTTCAGTGGCAGCAATGCCAGATGCATCAAAAGCTTTTCTTCACATTCCAACAGACACTTGTGTCCAGTTGAATGCCTGTGTGCAGTTGAGCGCCCGTGTGCTAACCCCACGGTGGGTGCTTCCAGGTGGGGGAGGGGGGGGTGTGCGTGGTAGTTTAACCTCTCCATCCGGCGCCGAGAAAGGCAGCGCCCTATCTACAATCAGTCGAACGCACACTACGAAAAAATTGCTGCCTTTTCTTTATACATTTTTTTCATTCGCTTGCTTTAGTTTGTAAAGAATTCAGTAACGAAAACAAACCGAGAGTACGACTGTCGAAAGTTCAGAAGTAACGCAGTGCAGGGATGGATACGGGGGGGGGGGGGGGGGGGGGGGGGGTTCCTGGTCCGCTCGTGCCGATTTCAGCCACACCAACCCGCTTGTGCAGCAGACCTCCTGCTGCACTCCTTCATTTTGAGCGGCGACGGGCAGCCAAAACGGCAAAGACACAGAAATTGCGCCGGTCACAAATCTTCCATCTTGCGCTTCTCTATGTACTTGAGAAGAGAGTCCATCCCCTCCACCGAGCTCCAGATCCTCTGCAGCGCCGCACACTCGCGCTGGTTGGCCGCCTCTAGCTCGGCCGTCAGTCCGCACCGCAGCAGCTTCTTCGTCTCCTCCAACACCTAGTGGACAAGAGACGCGCACGTTCGGCACAAGGCCCCCCCCTCCATTACCAGGTGGGCACGTGGCTTCCAATGGAAAAAACCAGGCACGCCCCTTTCCGTCCGCGTTCCAACAACAAGTATGAGATTTTACTGCAGTCATACAAATAAACGTCATTTCCCATTCTCTCTCATTTCTCCGAGTTCTTAAACGCACATTCATTCGAAAAAATTAAAGGTGTTGAAACATTTGTGTTGGTTTCGAGTAGGATACTTTTCTCAAGGCGGAATATGTTTTTACCCATCTAGCCAACTTCTATACGAGAATAGGTTTTCCCCTTTTTTTCTGGCAAACAGCTGTGTGAAGGTGTTAGAACACCAAACTGAAACATTTTACAAGGAATCATGTCTGCATTAACCACAATACTTGTGGTCAGAATGCAAACCAAAAACATACATGCATATATCATCAGAGTATGTTGTTTTGTTTGAGATGCAATGTTTCCATTTTCGAGGAAACATTGCATCTGAAAACTAATTTTTTTAGAACTGCTTTTTGTGTTTAGTTGGTTGTCCTTCCCACGCACCTCCGACTAGCACGGTTGGCTACGTACGATCCAACAGAAGTTCAACATACATAAACATACATAAACATACATACACATACATCTGGTGGAAATAATAATTTACGAGGCATGGTGACACTCAAGGCACTGGTCGTGACGATCTGCTTTGATCTCGAACGATGAGGTGCAAGCACTACGCCGCACTCACTGTCAATTGGCAAGAGGCGAGCTCCTTGACCCGCTCCAGGACTTGCTGGGAGAAGGTGCTGGACCACAACACCTGCGACACCAGACCCATCTCGCACGCTTGTAACGCCGTCAGCTTTCTGCCGCAGAAGAGCACCTCATTGGCCTGTGGGAGTGTGTTCACAAGGTGTCGAGAAGAGTTAGCATGCAGAGGGCGGCACAGAAAAACTAACCGTGTTCTAAAGATATAATTAAACTCTACAGTTTGTTAATCAAAAGTTATGTGAGAAACAAATAAGTCCAATCTTGCAGACACATCTAGACTGTCACAGATTAGCACGGTTGGCTACATACTGTGTGAAAGGAAGTTCAACATAGAAACATACACATGTTTTAAGCATCATTCTGGAGGCAACATATAAAACAAATCTTATTCACTGCGACAAGCATGTATTTTTCGTATTTGTTTTGCTATAAAGAACATTCAAATTCATGTCCACATCCCAGTACACACAACCTCGGTAGGTGCATCTACGAGAGCCACATTATTATATTAATGGTTATGCAACTTGCCATAAAATGCATTCACCCAAAATGGATTTATTATAAGACAACCACTTGAAAATATTAGACGTCACATTGTTATGGATGATCAGTGTTTATTAAATCAACTGAATAAAGTTATGTAATGGTTTCATGTAAGGTGTATTTGTTTTTTCTGGATTTTTTCTCCCAAGCCATTGGCCTCATGACATGCGACAAAAACATTTCCATTTGGTACTCTCTCGTAAAGAGCGATGTGCTTCCCTGCATCACAAAATGGCCCCAAACGATATCATAGAACTACTTGTTAAGTAATATCAAAAGGTTTAGTCACACACAGGACACACTTTTTACGTAGCCTGGAAAGAGTGATCATCACAGATCAATTAAAGTGATATTTTTTTAATTTCAGAAATACAATATGGCAGAGTGATGAAAAGCACATATCATGTGATGACATTTTTGTGCAGTATTTTGAGACAGAGAACATTAATTCAATTGCAACTGCAGCACCCAGGTTAATACTGGGTGGATGAAATCCAGAGTCGAATCTGCAATTGTTGGCTCAATGCATTGATATGGTGTTAGCCCCCCTGATCCACTTCAGGTTTTGCAAGAGGCTTTGCGTGCAAGTCAGGGGTGGGTAACCTATGGCCCGTGACTTCACTTTGTACGGATCACAGCCAAACAAAGGCATACCAGTCAGTTCGAAACAACCCCCAAAAAGAAATGAATCCATCATTGCAAACATCTCACCCGCAATGCACGAGTACCAGAGGAGGATTATTTTTGGACTTGCAACAACATTGCATTTCTGATATTAGCATGCTCAAGCACTTCTGTAACAGCAAGGGCCTCCTTATGCTCTGGCAACATGCACGTTATATTTCGTGTTATAATCGGATGGCACGTAGGAGATCTGTGTTATTTGGCAACCTGCCAAAGTTCCAGGAAATTACAATGCAAAGTGATACCCCCCCTCACACGCGTATGTTTACTCCAAGGTAATCGACACTCTTACCACAATCATAACACTAATTAATGGAGTAATGCGATGCATTCAACAACAACGTTGTGCCCGGTTTTCTTACATTGACATGCTAATCTTCTCAATAACACAGCCACCGCTGCGGTGGCCTTCTTACAATTGTAGAGGTGATACGCGCTGGGATTAAGGATCGTATGCACAGTGCGTGATGATTGGCTGTGTAGGTGGTGACGCGCGCTGACGGTGGAGGATCAGGGGTCAGCGCGGGGTCGTGGGTTACGGGGTACCGATTGGCTGTGGGCGGTGACGCGCTGAGAGAGAGTGCGTCGTGATTGGGTCATTGAGGAACGACGCTCACGTCGACGCCGCATCAGCTCCGTCCCTCGTGAGCAGGGGCTATAAAAGGGGATGCACACAGGCGTGAGGGCAGTGTGTAACCAGCGAAGAAGGAAGACGGGGATGAAGACCTAGAGCCCTGCGGTACCTAGCCCCGCTGTCCTAAGGGGACCGGGACTCTGTGTAACCCAGAGGCGAGTGTAGTGGGTGTAGCCATAGGTCTACACGAGCCGAATGTACTATGTGTAGCCAGGGCATAGGGCTTACACGAGTCGAGTGTATTGTGTAGCCAGAGGCATAGGGCTTACACGAGTCGAGTGTATTGTGTAGCCAGAGGCATAGGGCTTACACGAGTCGAGTATATTGTGTGTAGCCAGAGGCATAGGGTCTACACGAGTCAAGTGTATCGGGTGTAGCCAGAGGCCTAGAGCTTACACGAGATTAGTGGAGTGTGTCGGAGGAAGAAGAGAGACCACACGTTGTATTGTGATACCTAAAGGATTTAATAAAAGTGTGTTACCCGTCAAGAAGTTCCTGCCGTCAATTCCCATACTTCAACTGGCGTCAGAAGTGAAACGGTCCTCCAAGCATGGATACAAGGAGGAACCGTCGGACCCACGGGATTGACCACGAGGACAACCTCGACGACGCGGGCCAGCGGGCATCAGGGGGTGAGGAAGAGGAGCTGCCCACGGGGCAGGATCCACCGACGGCGCCGGTCGAGCGACGGGGGACTGACACCGTGCTTCGCGAGGCACACTCCCGTCTGGCGGAGCTGCTGCTCGCCGCCGCGTCCATCTTGGCGGAGATCAGCTCGTCGGGAGGAGCGGGGACGGCGGCCGACGTGCTACAGGATCGCCCTGCAGATTCCCGCCAAAACGATTTGGCGATTCCCGCCATTTCATCCGCTCCAACTTTTGGCGGGAACGGCCATCACCACGTGGCAGCGGTTCTCCATGCGCGGCCGCTGACGTCACCAACGCGCGCGGCGGACCGCCATCACACACCCGCCACTGGGGCCGCCATCTTACACACCGACGGGGGGGCAGAGAGGAAGCACGAGGAGGAGGACGACTTTATCTTTCAGCAGCGCCTTCCCACGTTGTCAGCATTCAAGGCGGAAGGCGGGGATTGGAGCCAATTTCAGCGCAGATTTTTGGCGCATCAAGAGATGTCCGCCTGGTCCGACGCTACGGCACTGCGGGCACTGCCTGCCATGCTGGACGACAACGCGCTCGCGGCCTTCACGTCCGCACGCAGGTCGGACCGCTCCACGCTCAAGGATGCGCTGGCTCTCATGGCCAAAGTCTACGGTCCTCCCTCGGCGTGCCGCCATCATTTCTACGCAAGACGGAAGGCGGACACGGAGACCGTGCTCGCCTACCGCACGGCGTTGCTCGCTCTCGCTGACGCCGCGTTCCCTCGTATGGACGAGGAGGGCCAAGATGCGATGGTTTTGGAGCAGCTGCTCAAGTTGGCGCAGGACCTGGGGGTCCCCATCAACACGGCCGACGACACCGATATTTCTTCATTACGGGTCGCCACGAGCATGCAAGCGCACGAGGTCCTTCAACGAAAGCAGGGGGTCGTCTGCAACGCTGCCGTGGCCTCAACTCCGGGTCCGGTTGACACCGTGCCCCAAGTCGTCAGCCCACGAGAGGACGCGTTCATCGCGGGACGAGCGGGGGACTGGAGGTCGGGGGGTCGTTCGCCTCTGCGAGCGGCCCGCAAGCTGGAGCAACCGAGATCTCCGACTACTGTCATCACCTGCTATAACTGCGGCCTTCGTGGCCACGTGGCCTCCGGTTGCCGCGCCCCACGTCAGCGCGCCATGGGACCTCGGCTGGACGACGACCAAGGCCCCAAGTCATCACTGCAAACCCCGGCAAGTCGCGGCACCTCACATGCTTGGCCCGCATACTCGACACGTATGGGTCGTCGCGTTGCGACGAGGGAGAGCCGAGTAGAGTTCGGGGATTCGGTTCGGAGAGGGGGGTTCGGCCGGGACCGGGGAGACATTAAATGGTCGGAATTGGGGCACAGAATAGTGGCTGCCTCAGCGGGTTCATCCGTCGTTACCGGATCGATTGATGGGGTCGAGGTCAGGGTGTTAGTGGACACGGGGGCATCGGCGACTATTATTTCGGATCTCATTTATAATATTCTCCCGGTACAATGTCGTCCGCTTCTTCCGGGGGATGTGCCATTTTACGCCGCAAACGGGGAATCGTTGGGCATTATCGGTCAGATTAGGGCGTCCATTTGCATTGGTGATATCAAATTGTCGGGACCCGTTTTCGTTTCATCTTCCCTGGCGGTTCCTTGCCTATTGGGCACTGATTTTTTGGCGAAAATGCCCATCAAAATTCTCATTGATCAGCGTTGCATTGAACTACCATCGGGTCGCCGTATTTCATTTTTGACGAGCCCTAATGTAATTCGGACGGCGTGCGCTACCATTCAGGCGTTAGCAACACAGACCGTGCACGTGCCCCCGGGTTCACAAATGTTGATTCCCCTCCGGTTACGGAAGCCATGGGGGAAGGAGGCCTCGGAACAGGCCATGCTTCTGGGTCCTTCTAATAGGGCTGTTGGAGGTCTCGATTTATCGGTGGCTCACACTTTGGTTGGGGCAGACAGGGATCCGTTTGTCATGGTTTTAAACGCTGGGGCGCGGCCGGCCGTCATTCAGCAGGGCACCGTGCTGGCTCACGCGGCACGGGTCCCTGCGGAGGAGAGGCTGGTTGCGCAGGCTGATCCGAGCCCCACGAATAGCGTACCATCAAAGGAGGACCTAGATTGGATTGATATGCTGTGCGCGGACTCTGACGATTTGTCAGCGCTACAGTTGGGTGCGTTGCGCGGGTTGCTGATTGAATTTTCGGATGTCTTCAGTAAACATAAGTATGATATCGGATGCACGGACCTGCTACGCCACCACATTGAAACGGGCGATGCGGCACCGGTCAGGCAAAATCCCTTCCGACTGAGTCCTGCTGAGAAGGAACATGTTCAGTCGGCAGTTAACAATATGCTGGAAGCCGACATTATTTCGCCTTCTTCCAGTCCTTGGGGAGCACCTATTGTGCTCGTTAAAAAGCAGGACGGGTCCCTGCGATTTTGCGTCGATTTCCGCCGCCTGAATAAGATCTCGGTGGCCGACGCGTATCCGCTCCCCAGGATGGACGAGTCTCTCGACGCATTGTCCGGTGCGCGATACTTTTCGACTCTTGATTTATTGTCCGGATTTTGGCAGTTGCCACTCGACGAGGAGTCTAAGCCTAAGACTGCATTCCGGACTCCAGGGGGCCTGTTTCAGTTTAACCGGTTACCCATGGGACTTCACTCCTCTCCTGCGACGTTTCAGCGTCTTATGGAATTGGTTTTGTCGGGCTTGCAGTGGGAGACGTGCCTCATTTACCTTGACGATGTCATTGTTTTCGGTAAAACGTTCGAAGAACACCTCCAGCGATTGAGAGGGGTGTTCTTGCGAATGCGATCGGCTAAATTAAAGTTTAAACCGGCCAAATGCCATCTTTTTCGTAAATCCGTGAGGTACTTGGGTCACATTGTCGACTCTTCGGGGATTTCTACCGATCCTGCGAAGACGGACTGTGTCAGTTCGTGGCCGACGCCCACGTCAGTGTCAGACGTGCGCAGTTTCATCGGTTTTGCTTCGTATTATCGCCGATTCGTTGAGCACTTCGCCACCATTGCAAAGCCCTTGCACGCTCTAACGGCAAAAGGAGTGAAGTTCCGGTGGGGACCGGAGGAGGAGGCTGCATTCTGCTCCCTCCGGGACGCCTTGGTAAGGGCCCCACCCTTGTGCTATCCGGACTTTGAGAGTCCCTTCTTGCTAGACACGGATGCTAGCAACACGGGCATTGGGGGAGTGCTGTCCCAAGTCGTTGGAGGGGTCGAACGGGTGGTCGCCTATGGTAGCAGGGTGTTGTCGCCGGCAGAGCAGCGCTACTGCGTCACCCGTCGTGAACTACTTGCCATTGTTTTTTTTGTACAACAATTCAGGCCATATCTCTATGGTCGTCATTTCACGGTCCGGACGGACCATGCGGCGCTCCAGTATTCATTACGGGTTGCCCAGCCCTCGGGCCAATTGTCGCGGTGGTTGGAAGTCCTCCAGGACTATCAGTTCACGACTACGTACCGTAAAGGGTTGCGACACACGAATGCCGATGCCCTGTCGCGGTTGTTGCCTTGTCACAAATGTGCGTGCTTATCGGGATCGGCGCGCTGTAAACCTCCGGTTACGGAAGGTAGGGAGGCGTTGGTTGCGACCGCGAGCACACCAATTGGGGATGGTCCCGCTACCCCAGGGGGTCAGGACTCGCTGCTCTCACTGTCGTTGATTGAGTGGGGCCGTCTCCAAATGGCGGACAGCTCCCTGCTGACATTGCGCCGAAAGACGGAGGGTTCCGAAGGTAGCCACGACCGAACTGGCTCCTACGAGCTTAAGCAGGGCCTGTTGATGAGATGGGACAGTTTGTCCCGACGGCATGCGATTGTGGTGCCTTCTGCTGTGAGGGGGAAGGTTGTCTTGGCCGCACACGAACGCCTCTTGCATTTGGGAGTTAACAAAACGCTTGCCCTGCTTCAGCGTGACTATTATTGGCCGGGAATGGGGGGTGACGTGGTGAATATTCTGAAGGGTTGTGTTGAGTGCGCCAGACGGAAACCACCGCCCGTGGCAGCTAATCCACCGCTGCAATCTATTCAGGTCTCGCGCACTAACGAGCTCGTTGCACTCGATATTCTGGGGCCCTTTCCGGTCACGCCTAGGGGTAATAAGTACCTGTTGGTGGGGGTCGAATATTTTACCCGGTGGCCTATGGCGTGGCCACTCGCCAACCAGTCGGCGGCGGCTGTGACGGACGCCTTTGTCCAGGGCTACGTCCTGGACAAGGGGGCTCCCGAACGCTTGCTGACTGACCAAGGGAAACATTTTTCGAGTAAATTACTGCAGGAGGTGTGCGACCTGTTGGGTACCAAAAAGGTGCGTACCTCCCCGTACCACCCGCAGACGGACGGGATGGTGGAGAGGCTTAACAGGACATTGACCTCTATGCTGTGCCAGCAGGTGTGTGAGTCGCATGTTGATTGGGACCTGCAGGTCCCTGGGGTCCTTGCCGCGTATAGAATGGCCCCCCATGCAGCTACGGGGTTTTCCCCGTTTTTTCTAATGTACGGTCGGGAAGCCGACCCGCCCATGGAAACGCAGCTGGGTCTGCCCGCACCACGAACTAATTCTAAATTGGCAGAGCATATTAAATTTAATATTCATAAACTGACAGAGGCAAGGGAGGCCGCACGGCTTAATTCGCGGGCTCGCCAAATTGCGAACGAGCGGTTGCGGGCACGGAAGGTGTCCGTGCACAATTGGGAACCAGGTGACAAGGCCTGGCTGCATTGCCCTCAGGCACCTTTGGCCACGTCGCCTAAATTGTTGAAGCCGTGGCGGGGACCCGTGGAGGTCGTGCGGGTGGCACGCCCCCAGTGCGTTCAGATAAAATGGGGGAAACGCCGTTGGTACGTCCACCCCTCCCGACTGAAACCGTTCTCGCCTCCGTATGGCCTCCCCTTGTGTCGTGAGGGCCGAGCATGTGACGTGACCGACGACCCTGAGAGGGAATTGTCCTTGCCTGCTCCTCACATGTCTCCGCCTGATCCGCTCCCAGGTGTCTCGGAACTGACTGCTGCCGACCACCGGCGGCCGGATCTTCACGGCGGGGCCGGTCCTTCCAGGCCCGACCCGTGCCGTCTAGAGCTGCCGGAGACACCGGACGGTCGCCAACGTCCCGTTCCATACGACGGACCGGCCAGACGGACTCGCGCTAGGTCGCGCTACTTTGTGTGACCTACCACGTGCGGAGTCGAGGCAGCCGGAGCGCCTCGGCACTGCGTGGGTCACAGTGACACTTGGCGCGTTCGTTTTGCGGTGTTCGCTTTTATTGTGTTGTTCGTCGGGCTGTATATTGCTTCATATTTAAGGTTGTGTTATGTTGTTGTTGTTGTGTTACGGGGCACACTGGGATGTGGAGTTCTTTATTACTGCGTTGCGTTGTGTTGTGTTGTAGGTTAACAGCCGGGCCGGCTGCAAGCTATGTGGGAGGGGGTGATGTAGAGGTGATACGCGCTGGGATTAAGGATCGTATGCACAGTGCGTGATGATTGGCTGTGTAGGTGGTGACGCGCGCTGACGGTGGAGGATCAGGGGTCAGCGCGGGGTCGTGGGTTACGGGGTACCGATTGGCTGTGGGCGGTGACGCGCTGAGAGAGAGTGCGTCGTGATTGGGTCATTGAGGAACGACGCTCACGTCGACGCCGCATCAGCTCCGTCCCTCGTGAGCAGGGGCTATAAAAGGGGATGCACACAGGCGTGAGGGCAGTGTGTAACCAGCGAAGAAGGAAGACGGGGATGAAGACCTAGAGCCCTGCGGTACCTAGCCCCGCTGTCCTAAGGGGACCGGGACTCTGTGTAACCCAGAGGCGAGTGTAGTGGGTGTAGCCATAGGTCTACACGAGCCGAATGTACTATGTGTAGCCAGGGCATAGGGCTTACACGAGTCGAGTGTATTGTGTAGCCAGAGGCATAGGGCTTACACGAGTCGAGTGTATTGTGTAGCCAGAGGCATAGGGCTTACACGAGTCGAGTATATTGTGTGTAGCCAGAGGCATAGGGTCTACACGAGTCAAGTGTATCGGGTGTAGCCAGAGGCCTAGAGCTTACACGAGATTAGTGGAGTGTGTCGGAGGAAGAAGAGAGACCACACGTTGTATTGTGATACCTAAAGGATTTAATAAAAGTGTGTTACCCGTCAAGAAGTTCCTGCCGTCAATTCCCATACTTCACAATGACATGCTAATCTCTCACAATACAATGGACACCACCACAGCTCCGGTGGCGCACGGTTTTCTTACATTGACATGCTAAACTCGCATTAACAGATTGACATGCTAATCTCTCGCAATACAATGGCCGCCTCCGCAGCTACGTATTCGAGGGGTATATCTGGCTCTCAGATCTTACATTTACATGCAAATTCCATCTCTAGCCCCACTCACTAACCCTTGGGTTGCACCCATCTCAAACCTATATAACTGCTTGCTTCAGCAGCTCTCCTGCTATATTTTTTCCTGCCTCAGCAGTTCTCCTGCTGTATTTTTTCACCTGATGACGATTGCTTGTGATGCGATCCAAACGTCGTGATGTTTTATTTTTATATTTACGTGGCTTTACCGAAAGACCCAAAGAGAACAAAACTAATAGTCATTGCAATTTGTAATGAGCACAGTATTCGCTCAATTTCGAAGAGAGAGGGCGACTCAATGGCACGGGGAACCACAGACAAGTGGGAAAGGCAGCCAGGCGCTGAGTCAGCGCCAAATTTCCTCCCCAAGCTCTGCAGTCCTCTATATATTAAGGTGTTATTGGTCACGAGGGGGCAAAAGACAATCCCATACAAATGGAACAGGTGGAGTACACATGTCCTGTACTATCTTCTGGCCAGCCAGGGTAAGGGACCTCCTCGTGTAGGGAGTTTCACAACATTTGTGCAGTGATCCACACAACCCTCGCCTCCAAAATGCTGGATTACAGGCATGCACCATCACCGCCCGGCCAACTGACCAAACTTTCCAATAAAGCAGGACCCCCATTTGGTCCTCAGATATAGTTTTCCCCGGTGTAAGTGGCGGTACTTACGGCTAGCGTGCCCATGGCTCGAGGGAAAGTGAAGGACGAGCAGCCGTCGGGGGTCTGTCCGGTCGCCGCGTACGGCGTCTGGAACCAGGCCTTGTCGCTGGCCCAAACCAGATCACACAGCGCCAGCAAGGCGGCGCCTAGCCCCACCGCGGGGCCGCTGATTGCCGCTACGATCGGCTTCTGGAAATGAATGAACACATTCACAAACTCCCTACCCGCATGCGGGAGGGAGATGGCGTGTGTGAGGGGGTGGCCCTGTCTGGACATGGTGCAAACATTTTTATGACGTCACCTATGTAACAACTTTATGGTACGGTAAGGAGGTGGGCTACAGCTAGGGTTGTGATACGATTATAACTTTTTCGATAATCGCTTGCAAAATCGATTAGCAACTCAAAACGAAGTAGAATCAACAATCAAAACAGTTACTTACATTTTTGTAACAATCAAAACTACATTTGTTTGCATGAATAACACTGAAAAAAACCAGACATCGCTCCAAAACTGTTTAACAATAAAACACCAAATATGCACCTAATCTTGCCAGACCTCTAAAGGTAAGCAAGATTGAGCATGGTTATTGCTTCGATGTGACCACCAGGGCTTGCAAGGTGTTGTAGGCCTGAGGCTGTGAGGTGTCCAGGACATGGCAGTGCAAAGTGTTACCGCCACATATGCGTGGGTTTTCTTCGGGTAATCAACTCTTCCCACACTGAGAACAATGATGGATTCAAATGTGTGGGATTTATTTGAGATTCCTCCCACATGCCAAATACTTAAAGCAATTAACCAAACTTTCCCATAGCAGGACTCTGGGTAAAGGGCATTGCAAGGGCAAATATAAGGCATGTTCATTATTATCAGCTCACGAGCAGGGCAGGGTAAAAAAAACTATACAAAAACGATAAACTATTTTTATTTTACCAGGTAAGGCCCACTGAGATATATAGCTCTTTTTCATAAGTGACCTGGCCACAAACGAAGTAGTTGATCGTGAAGAAATCTATAGCAGCCAAATATTCTAAACGCATGTTTATAAATGAGGGAATAATTGGAAGACCTGGAGAAAAATCCACACTACCGTGGGGAGAGAGACACGCAAACTCCAAATATACAACAGGCGTCAGGGTCGGGATCGAACCCACGTGATCCTGTATTCCAGGCGAGGGAGTTCACATCTCGCCACCCTGGCGCCCCCCTGAGATCACTGACCTAATGGCATCCACCATGCGAGAGCTCCCCTCCTCAGGGTTGTCAGCGAGTCCATTGACAAAAGGCAGAAAGTCCAGTCCGCTACAGAACACGTTTCCCACGGCGCCCAGCAGCAGCAGGCGGTTCTCGTCGCACGCGGCGTTACCCATCGCCTTCTGGATCTCCTTCATCACCTGTAGAGGAGAGTTTCGCATTTTGTTCGTGACGGGCCATCTCTGCGATTGCAACACTCTGGCGCCCATTCTCAATTATACTTACTTGGTGGAATGTACGCAAAATATGGATGAATTATTTCTCATCAAACCAGTGCTTTTGTTCATGGTTATTTTAGATCTAAGCAAAATGCCCAAAGTAAAAAATGAAAAAAGGTCTTTTGTACCTTGTCATTTTTTTAAATTGACAGACTTTTGTCATCCACAGTTGGACTAAGGACTCCACAAGAATATCCGTCATGGGGATTGTTTGATCAAACTTAACTGGTTCAGTGAGTGCTGTGGTAGATATCACTCACACGGTTTGTTAGCCAAGGCCAGGAATCAAACTCAGGTTACTGCTTGACGATGCATTATCCCACAGAGTCACGGACGTGATGCAGAGAAGACTTTTGTGGGCAGACAAGAGTGCCTCTTACTATCCCTGACTCGCCCCGCACACTACTCATCGTCCCTCAATACTTTCTAACAGAGCCGGAATGAAACCGTTCTCTCTGAAGATCGAAATAACGGGGCGGAGAGAGGAGGGGAATGACACAAGACGACTGACACACCGAGCATTGGTTTGGCGCAGATCCCTCAAGCTTGCTTACCTTAACGCTGCACGGAGCGTTAAGGTAAGCAAATCAAACCAACGCACACGTTCCACCGAGAGCTACAGTGCACGGCTCACCCCCAGAGAAACGTCCTCACGGTGACCCGAGTTAAGCAGTGGAGTTCTTACCATTGCAGGACTGCCACACGAGACAATCTATAATTAGCCAATTACTTGTATATGCAAGTAATTCCGTCACTGTCTTTTCCATCGTACAGGTCTCATTTTGACCACAACGAACCAGGAACATGACTTATGATACAGGTGACAAAAAAAATGAGACTAAAAATGTTCACCATGTTAATCTGAATAAATGGTGCACTACTTGGCAGGCAAAACACGGTACCGCACCTGCTGAGTAATTCACCAAACCACCCTTATCTGGACCACAGGCATGCACCACCGCATTCGGTACAAATCGCCATTTTCTGAGCCAGTGGGGCAGCCGAGTCTCACCTCCACACTGAGGCTGTTGCCAGCATTCTTGGTCGAGAGCTGAATTTGCGTGTACCCATCCAGCTTGCGCACCACGATGTTGCGGTAGCGGCACGTCGACTCACTCTGCCGCACGCTGCAGCGCTGCCGCTTGTCGAGCGGTAATCCCTGGGGCTCGTCCCCCACAGTCCGCTTTCCATTCCCGGCGCTTCCTCCGACGCCGCTGCCCACGGTGGGGGCGCCGCCGACGGCCGTGGAGCCGACGTGGGCGCCGCTCCCGTATGGCGGCGGGATCCCTTCGGAGGAGACGGCAAGTACCGGTCACTCGCACCGGTCCGTGCACCAGTGGCTTACGTAACATTGTCTTGCGTCGATGGCAAGCTCTATTTGTTGAATGTTCACGTGTACATTTACAGACATTTGTCAGTCAGTGCCTGAATGAGGGCCTCCCCAAGCTACGTGGGTCGTGGCGAGGGGTTATTATCACACTTCACCATGCTGCTCGTTGCAGGTTGATGGTTGAGAAAGCATATACGTCACAGAATAATACAGCACAACACTGGATTTTGCTGCACTGCACTGTGCGGACAAAGTAACGCCACAGCTGCTTATATCGCCTAAATATATTATCGCCTAAAAATTGCTTACCGTGACAAATGACTTTGCGACAAAGTTCTGCAGATGGACACATTAAACTGGAATTTTCATCTGTACCTACTTTTTATTTTATATAGTCTCTGTTATATGGAAATTAAGTCCGGCAAATATGTAAGGTTTGTTTGTAAATATGCAATTATGTTCACTATGAATCGCAATCCAAACAATACGGTGCATGACTTATTAAGTAACTATTAATGGCTTACTTCGTTTATTGCAGCCATGTGACTACATTAGCCTTATTGTACAAACCAGTACAAATGAAACAATCATATCTATGCTAAACCTTGACAATAACATTCAAACACTTGAGAATGTTGCTCAATTCATACATACGCTACACAAGGCAAATAATCAAAAAATGTAGCACATTTTCTCTTCATATTATCAACATATTTTCTGCTCAAACAGTACAGGGAAATGCCCATCTCCTGTTTCCGAGCCTTGAGCCAGTGGTGGATGTTCCACACTCCAGGTGGGGTGAATTAGTCTAGAGGACAACTCACGGTTGTCTTTTCCACAAAGTGGTTCTCATTTTAACTACGCAAGAGGCAAGAAGGGCCGAGCTTAGCCCTAACCGGCATATTAACTTCCAAATTGTGAGCTGCATGTTCTCAATAATTGCTCAACTGTCTGGATCATTCTGTTATCAGTCACACAATCACAACGACTTCAGACCAGCATGCTTTGTCCTCATTATGATGGGTTTAAGTTAAGAAAACGTTGATGTATTTACCCTGAGGTACGGCATTGGAGAGGGATGGGCTGGGTTGGCCAGGAGCCGGGAACACCAGAGGTAGACTGACTTGTGGCTTCAATATTGACGCCTGTGATTCGCTGTCCTGGCCCAAGTGCTCGTCTGATGTCACAAGCACACGTGTCATACAGCAACGCCCATACAACTGCACCACGATGACTACATACTCAACGCATAGATATATTTTTACAGTAAAAAAAGCGAGTCAATGTCAGTATATTGTGTTGATATCAGATAAAGGTGCTGCCCTGAATTGCTTGCTCACACCACCCCTCCACAATACGTGACCTGCCGAATGACTGTTGATACGGGGTCACCATTATTACCTTCTACTGGTATTAGTCATTTACTACAACATGAAAGTTAGTGTTTTAAAAACAAACCAACGTCTGTTGAACTTGAAGCCAAGTGACATGAATCCAGCGCCTTGCAAACTAACCTTTACTGTCCCCCATCAGCGCAGAAGCTTTGTCGAAGCGGCAAATCTGTTTCGCCATAAGCTGAACTGTGATCCGCCCCGGTGGCCTCATGGCCCTTGAGCCCATCCTGGCCCTCTCTGTAGGACTGCCTCCATTGGGAGTCAGAATGATCTTCTCTCCACGCAGCCGCTCTTCTCCCGGGGCCTGAGCTGCGTTGCTCAATTCGTCCTTGAATTTGAATTCACTGGTGGCACTAACGGTGCCATGCAAACTCGTGATCAAGTTACTGCCTCTCGACTCCAACTTTGGTACAAGAACTTTGATTCCCGTCTGGGAAAGGTCCATTGGACTTCTCCCAATGAAGGAAAACGACGATTTCCGTGCTTGCGAGGAAGCCAGACTCTCCTTTTCTGTGATGATGTCTGGAAGGCTTGTACGTTGCAGCTGCGGTTGAAGTGGCGACCGCGAAATTAGCTCATTCGCCGCTTCTTGGGCTTTGTTAAAGCTGAACCTCCGACACTCGTCAAACTCTTTGATGTATTCCGTGCAGGTTGTAAGGTGGTGCTCGGGCTCCCAAGTGTCCCCATCGCTGTTAAATCCTCTCCACCGGACCAGATATTCTATACGACCCTTGCGTGTCTTCCGCTTGTCTATTATCTTCTCCACCTAGTAAGGAACGGTAGGCATCATCAATGGGAAGCAAATACATGTATACCCAGGGATAAGTACGCCATCCACAATGGCATATAGAAGAGTCATATTTTATATCAACACATGATGCATGATAATGTGTTAATTATTTTTCTTAATAATACAACAGTTTGTCCAAAGTATTACATTGTAAATAAATGTATTGTTGTTTTTAGTAACAGAGGTATGTCAAAGAAGCAGCAGCCATGTACTGAATAATTGGACAATTCATGTTTATTCTTGAAGTTTACATTTGTATATAAAAGAAAATCAATTTAAAAAATTACTTTTCAACAGATTAAGGTATGTAACCGTTTAGTCCCTTATGTTGAAATAGTCTCCAAATTATATTTAGAGAGAGCGGGGATCAGTTTAGATACTACTCGCCACTCATGTGAGTTGCGGCTGAGAATCGAACTCCGGTTGCTGGGTTCATAATGCAGTATACTAACCACTGCACCACTCCCTCAAAAACACGTAATCATCATCTACATTACAACTTTTAGCTCATGATACAGGCATAAACAATTTTGTATACGAATCAATGTGGTCAAACACAGACCATGGCATATCTATTGGTCTTATGAATTCTACAGCCGTGCTGCTCAACATTTTTCATTACCACGGCCTCCTCCCGGCCGTGATGGCGGGGAGGAGGCCGTGATGGTGTGGAGGAGGTCGTGATGGCGGGGAGGAGGCCGTGATGGTGGGGAGGATGCCGTGATGGTGGGGAGGATGCCGTGATACACTCACTCATCTTACACTGACTCACTCACACATCATACACTGACTCACTCACACATCATACACTGACTCACTCACACAACCACTAACCCATTTTCACTCATCATACACTGATTCACTCATCATACACTCAATCATCATACACTGATTCACTCATCATACACTCACTCATCATACGCTGACTCACTCACACTACCACTGACTCACACATCATACACTGGGAGTGTCATGCTGCCAGCTATGGCTGCAAGTTTGGTCGTACATGTTATCGTTTATTGTTAAATTTGAATCACAGTTCCTATGATTACTGTTGTTACATTGTTTTTATGGCTTTATTTTGGTGATTTCGAAAACATATGGTTAAGCCATGTTTCTTGCGGAAGTGCGGAGTTGGCCTGATAACTTTAATCTAAATTGTCTTATGGCCTGAAATCAAATATATAGCTATAGATGACCAATGCGAGAAATTATCATGTATTTTGATTATAGTGTGCTGCTACTACTATTGTTACTCCTGCTGTCATGGATTGACTCATGCAGCTAGCGAAGGATGCTAGGTTTAGTAATATATGTTATGTATGTCGCTATTGTAAACTTTCAATCACATTTCTTATGATCACTGGTACATTGTTTTTATAGCATTATTTTTAGTAATTTCTAGAAAGGTTTAGTTTAGCCCGATTTTTTATGTAGTATAGAGTTATACTTAAAATTTTAATCTATATTGTATTATGATTGTTATTATGATCTAACATCAAAATGGGATTTTTTGCACATTTTTGTATGCAGCATAAACAAATGGTGCTTTTTCTGGAAGATGTTATTGTTTTTGTAGGGGAAGTTTCAATTTGCGTACAGTAAATTTCAAATGCATCTTGTAATTTTATTGTTTGTGGCGGTTGCACCCGAATCAAGAGCCGCATGGCTCACAGGGCTATACCTAATAAATTAAACTTGAAAACTTGAAACCACGGCACACTTTCGAGCTTGCTCGATGTTCGTGACACAAAATGCAAAATCCCATCGACGCATACAAGACAGAGGTAAATTAAAAGAGCCAATGGTGGGGGCTGATACCTATCTGCCGTACTGCTATGCAACCAATGGAGAGGGGAGGGCGGAAGGTAGGAAGTGCAGGGGCTAGATCGGCCACTGAACAGCACAGAGTTCTCGTCTGTCCTAGCTTGTGGACAGCGAGGTTTTCTATTCTACAATTCCGAAAAGACTGTGGCACCCCTGCGACCAGTGTGCCGCGACACACCGGTTGTGAAAAATTGTCCTACTGGAGGACCTCTTCTGTTAGACCAGGCTATATCATAATCATAGGCACCGTAATGGAAATACCTGCGATTTTGGTGGTAGCACGCGAGAAGAAAAATGTTTTTCAATATAAGGACATTACCACCAATATTCATATCATAACCAAAACATGACCCCTATCATCCATATTACCACCATGATAGTAATCTAATGTACATCTCAACATGAGCCTATTATATTACCATCGTAACAATAAACAAGATTACATAATATATTTCACTGTGGTAAACATCACAACCACATATACTGAACACATGCCTTCAATACGAAAAACCACTATCTACGAAGAAGTTTGTGTTCCGCAAACCATATGACCATCACCCATACCCCACAACTACAATATTGTAGCCACCGTCCTAGCAGACCAAAGTGATCATGGACCTCAGAAATCTGCTCTTACAGCATCCCACCATCTGGGTTTGGTCTTCCTACTAGTCGACAACCTCTGGGTGCCAATTCAATACCGGTCTCAGTAAGCCACCCATCTCCCTGTTCTGCAATAAAGCATACCTTTACAATTCTTTTTTATGATGTTCTAATCATAACTTACAAAGTAAAAAAAAAAAAATCTATTTTTTATTTCAACTTCTAGCTTCCTCCAAATGCCGCTGTATGTGGAGGCCTGATGCTTACTTTCTAGTTGTTTTGTTCAAGTCAGCTCTCTGACATGTACAGTAAGAGTAATAACACCTGCCTCAAACACGCATACTGACCACTTCACTTGACCTTTCTACTCTTCCAAACTACTGTATGTAGCCCATAAAATAAACCTTGCTTTGCAATAACACGTTCCATGACGTCACAACCACATTTTATACGCATTATTACAGTCTACAAGTCATCTACCTCCACAGTATTACTTGCTACTCATTATGCTACAGATAAAGGCGCATAGGGATCCTCCATAATCATTGCCTTTAACTTTTTTTCTGGCAAGCTCATATTGAGACCCCATTGACCCATCTCATTACCTAGAACTGTCTAAAAGCTACTACAATGCACCTCCGATTAGCACGGTTGGCTACATACGGTACGAAAAAAGTTCAACATGCGTACATACAAACTGTCTCTCCTTATAGACACACACAAGTGTGAGTTCCAGTATCCTTGTTTTACCTGGAAAAACTTCACCGACTTTCATTCCCCTTTTTATCGGCAAAGTTTATTGGCAGTAGGTTGGCAGTAGAGGGCGATGATTGCTATGTATAATCTCAATTGAGTAACCTTGGGGTGATTGATCCAATATGGCATATTTGGACCATGATGCTGGCACATAACGGCCCTTTTCTTGCGAGCGAGGTCATGGGATCTTTAAATCCACTATGATGCAGACGGTGCATATTTATTTTACAATTAATACATCTGCAGTAATGACCAGGGCGGCCACTCTATTCAAACCGTGAACCTCTGCAATACACAGCAAAAGAGCTACCATTAGACTATGTCACCGCTGGGCAATGTCCACGATTGTAAGCCGTCTACTTACCTTTGCTGAAAGATATAACATCTATAGATTTTACATAGCAGAGGAAACTGAGCTAACCTATGTGTTCAAAACAGGCCACAAAAGCCTCAATGCTGCCACTGAAGCTCCAGCAAACTCCAAAGGAAGGGCCAGGCAATGATGGTCAGGTGAGGCTGGGGGGGGGGGGGTTTAGCAGTATCTAGTAACTACAGTAGTAACTACTGACTATAGTAGTTTCTACTGACTCTATAGTAGCATCTACTGACTCTATATTCGTATCTACCAACTCCACAGCAGTATATACTGCTGCAGTAGTATCTGACTATATAGTAATATCTTCTGACTATAGTAGCTTCTTCTAACTCTATAGTAGTATCAACCAACTCTATAGTAGTGAATACTGACTCTACAGTAGTATCTAAGCACTATAGTAGTATATCCTGAATCTATATTGACTCCAAAGAAGTATCAACTGACTATAGCTGCATCTGCTGACTCTATAGCAGTATCTACTGATTCTATAGTCGTATCTACCGACTCTACAGCAGCATCTATAGACTCTATAGTAGTATCCACTAACTATAGTAGTAACTAATGGTGTGGGCTCACACGAAATAGATTTTTCTAAGACGGAGGTACTCTGCAAATCGACCGGCTACCTTCAGAGATGTGTTCATGAAGCCTTCCAGATATATAAACAGACACAACTTCAACCGAGAAGATGTATACAAACTGAGCAATCATTGGAAGGACGTTATTAACCAGGTAAAGTCTTAACTGACTGTGATGTTTCCACCCTACCTGCCTATGTCAGCTGTTATTTCCGACTGTCTCTCTCTCTTTGTGCCTCTCTCTTAGATCTCTCACATGTGCTTTGGATTGCACTCTCATGCTTACATGTCCTTTGGATTGCACTCTCATGTTCACGTACTTTGGATTGCACTCTCATGGTGCTAATCTCTCATTAACACTGCTGCTGTGCGCATATGCAGGCATGATACTCTTATGCGGCGACGGAAGCTCATTCATGCTAATCTCCCTCCCTAATCCCTCTCTCCCCAATCTCCCCCATTAACACAACTGACGTGCTTGGGTCCGTGGATTGAATTCCTTTCCAGCTCAGACCCCGCTTGCTTGCCCATCGCCACATATATAACCTTCTTATAACTGCTCTCTGACTGGTTCAGCAGTTGCACTGCTGGATTATATTTTCTCCATCTGAGGACGAAACGTCGTGATTTATTTTCTTTTATACCTACGTGACTTTACCAAAAGAACCAAAGAGTATGGATTCCTGCAGTCACAAAAGCTTCAAATCAAGATTGAACTCTATAGCAGTATCTGCTGATTATAGCAGCATCTACCGACTATAGTAGTAACTAACTCTACAGTATTATCTACTGAATCTATAGTAGTATCTGCTGACTATAGTAGTAACTACAGACTC